GGCCTAAGTAAATAAATGCAGGTAAACTTACTATAAATTTCACAAATAAACAAATATGAGTAATGCATTTTTTTGCTTTTATGGTTACTGTCATATATGCTTCGGACTGATTCTTTTCTTCCATAATTCTAAATTATTATTTAATTAATTTATAATTATTAAATTTATCAAGAGATGGTTCCTAATGCCTAACTCTAATCCCAAATTGTGTATTAAATTATTAGTATTATAGCCGTTTCTAGCCCAATAATATTCGGCTTTGGTAGATGGATAACTGTCATATACATTTTTTTGCTTTCTTGTCTGCTAAATAAAATGTTTTGTTTTAATTTTGAGTACTCATTTTGTATTTAGGATTAAAAGATTTCTCTTCTCAGCTTATCATTATGTATACAAAAGCCATTTTAATTAATTAATTAACAGAAGGACAATATGCATTCTAACACTACATACAGTACTTTTACTTCAGATTCATTGTTCCTAATATATGTTTTTCTTTGAAATATTGTTAAATCTGTAGTAACAATAGAACAATTTATTTATTATAATAAGTAATAAATGAAGCTAGCTTTTAACTACATCAATTCAGAACAATGGTTTCCAAACTAGTTGAGGTCTGCAGATTATTTCAAAGTTTAAAAGTGTTTTTGGATTGAGTGAGAGTGAGTGAAAAATAAATTATCTGAAAAAAGTTTAGTTTGCATGTGAAAGAATTCAACTCTATTTTTTTTCTATCAATATATTTTCAGGAAAATAAATGGAAGTGATCTGCAGACTCCAATTTAGAAAACATTTCCGATGGGTTTAGAATATATTTTTATCACTAATATATAAAACATTTAGCTTCATGTGTTAATGTGTGTTATGAAATTGTCATAATATGGAATTATTACGAAATGGAATATTTGGAATGTGTATATGAAATTGTTTTGAGAGTTTTATGTATTAAGGAATTTGTGTGTATATTGTATTTTCATGGATTGTCCAGCATGTTGATCTATCTGGAGGAGACCATGAAATCATATACAGTAGAGTGTCGATTATCCGAATCGATTGAGGACTGGGGTTGTTCAGAAAATCAATATTTCAGATAACTGATTAAGTACGAAAAAATATATTAATTTATCCCATCTTGACATTTTTCTCCATTGCGTGTCGCTTCACATTGAATTTTCGTCGATGTTAAGCCTAATGAAGACTATTGTATCGTTAAAAATTATTTTTTTATTTTGTACAAACAAAATAAATATATTGAAANTAAGTTACATACATAGAAAAACCTTAATTTTTTGATATTACAACTCAATTTAATTCAATAACAGATTAAGTACTGAAACAACAGTAAAGCTTTACAATTTTCTGGTTTCAATTTTCAGATTTTTTTTAAGGTCAACTTATATTAGTCACATGCTATTTAATAGTGTTTGCTAAAATACATGGAGTGATCAAAAAGTACTTTTACAAATACATCATCAAATACAATATGATGATGTATTTGTAAAAGTATATTTTTGTTACTAAAATGAAAACACAATTTATATGCAAGCATATGCTATTTCTCAACAAAATTATTCAGCTTGTTCAAGCAGTTATCAAAATATGTAATGAGCTTATTTATCCTATCTTCAAAATTCTTGTACTGTATCTGTTGCTATAGCCTACCCAGCAGTGCTACCTTTCACTTCATCAAAATGACAACCGTATACGTATTCCTTCAAATGTGAGAGAATATAAGTCAGATTGGACCAGAACCAGACTATGGATGATGAACTTTCAAACTTTCATTAATATATCTAAAACAAATCTACAGTTCACTGTGCAATATGTAGTCTGTCATTGTTACAGTGGAGAATAATAAATCAGCCATATTCTGTTCATTGTCTTTCATCTTCAAGAGTGTGTCTACATAACAAGCTGGTTGCTGATCAGCTAAACATTTGTTACAACTTAAGAGAGCATGGTTTCTCCCCAAATGCAATTCTGGATAACTTTTTCTCTTAACAATTCTTTTTTCTTCCAGAGACAAGTGGATAGCTATCTTTTAACTGGTCTTTCATCTGTAACCTTGATTTTGTTATATCCAACACAGATGACTAGATGTTATTTGTGCTATCTATCTATATAACCCATTGAATGCATATCCGTCTGCATAACGGTAGGCCAAAAACAAGCATTATAGGCACCCTAGCGCTGATTTTAAATTAACAACAAATTATTTTTATTTGTAATAGAAATTTATTATTGACACGAATTTATTACTTATACCACAGAATGGTATAATTAATTATTGTATGCCTTGCCTGGCTTTATTATATGCCTTGATTAACCTTGCGCCGCACGTTTACAACATCCCGGGACTCACAAGTCAGTGAACATCGCGCATTGACTCACGGGAAATTTGTTGAAAAAATGGCGGATACATTTAAAATCGAGGTTTACAACCGAAAATAAATAAAAAAAATTAAACTATTTTAAAGTTTTATAGAATGATTAATAGATAGAAATATAGATCCGTATGATGCGATTGGGACTTTAACAGAGCTGTAGAACATATTCATAGGAACAAAAAAGTCAAAGGAACCGTTCCTCATGGGAATTTGTAAAGAACGCCCACTAGGGGGCATCCCAGGCTACTAGTATAATTATATTAGAACATTCTCTATCTTTGAAAAGAGTGGTGTGAAATAGAGATAATACTTTGGACCTTTCCTTTTTAAAGCAACCACTTTACATTTCACTTAGAAATACCACTAGCTCTTTTTTTTTTAAATGATTCTGTATCAATTACTGAAACATTGGATATGCTATTAATCCTATCCATTTCTTCAAGTCCAATTTATTCACAGTCAGATTATGTGATCCATTACTTCAAGTAATTTTCAAAACATTGCCATTTAATTTCCCCTTAACTAAGTATATGATGCTTTTCTAACTCAGTTATTAAAAATTTCTATTTGTTGAGAGACATTACCTGAGACATTTTGACATTACAATCCATAAAAACTTTATAAAACAAAACAAAAACATATCTTTGTCAAAACCATATGCTTTTATTAGAATCTCATCAAAAAATGGACTGGCTAAAGCTTGGGAATAGCCTACAACCATGAAGAGTGCAGAAAAACTGTCAATCAACTGCAACCCTCTGTAAAGAGTATGCCATGTGAATGAATGAATGAAATCATTCATCTCTGAAAGAAGAGATTAAAGATAAGTGACCAGAATATGGTCCCAGTATGTTTTCTCCTAATGGAATTGTTTAAGCTTTAGCAGGTAAAATCTTGTGGCTCACAAAAATTATATAACTATTCAGATTTCTTCATAAGACCATTTTTCTAACTTTGTTCTCATTTGAAAATTCTGTCACAATTATCCCACACTCATGCATCATTCTAACTGTGTTGCCAATCTGGGTCATTAATTATTCTGGCAATTACCCATATTAGACCTCATTTGAGTTAAATGCAATTGTGCTTTGGTTTTTAAACTTTAGGTCAGCCATAGATATCCAACATATGACCTACAAAGTTAAGCCAAGCTAACCTAATCCAAGGCCATCATTATTCAAGGCCTGGTTGTAACCCCCCATTAAAAAATTGTGGCAAAACTACTGGTCATTTACAGTTTACTGGACAATCTGGTGTTGGATATATTGAAGCTTGTCTTTCCAGTTCATTTTATAAGTTTATCAAATTGGATATTATTTAGATATTTATATTCATATAGTTAATCAAAGAAAGGACATTTTTTTCATTATTAATTATGTAAAAGTAAGAAAATTAGGGGTTATTACAAAAGTTTGCTTCTAGCCCTTGGTATAATTATATAGTAGAGTCCCGAAAACTCGGCCTAATGTTGACCGACGGGTGGGCGAGTTTGTGAAAATGCCGGGTTATCGGGAATGGCGTTAAAAAAGAATGAGTGTGGAGTCCTGAGAAAATACTGTACTGTACTTGTATGTATTGTTTGCTTGAGAATACAACAGAGAATAAACTCCCCAATTTTCCTTAAACAAAGGAAAAGTATGTACTTTGTGAAGACATAGAGCCATTACTACATGAAAATGAAAATTAATGAATACACAGTGTATAGTAATTTACCTGATAAGACAGACCTCAGAAAAATACTTTATGAAACATAAATCTGTCTATAATGAAAATTAACTAGGAGTTTTTTCCCCCTGCCAGGGTGTGGCCGAGTTATCCGGACTGCCGGGTTATCGAATACCAAGTTTTCGGGACTCTACTGTATTAATTAAATTATCAACTACCGTGACGCAGATAATAGTGAAGGCTTATCAGACCAATGATGGGCACAAATGCTCAGGAATCAAAGTGAAAATGTTTAATAAACAACTGATGAGGGACTATTTTCTATCAGAAAATAGTCCCTCATCAGTTATTTATTAAAATCCAAAATGCATTAGTTATTTAACTTATTTACTTATCAGTTATTTAAAAACTCAAAATGCATTTCAGACTATTTTATGATAGAAAATAGTCTGAAATGCATTTTGGGTTTTTTCGTTTTCATACTTATGTAGTCATTTTTATGTTTATTAAACATTTTCACTTTGATTCCCGAGCATTTGTACCCATCAATGGTCTGATAAGTTTTACTAGTTGTATTATTAATGATATTGATCCAAATACTGAACATACTACATATCTTAAAGAAAAAGTTCAATGTCTTAACTCAAAAGATAAAATAGTTATACTATAATTGGATGAAATACATGTAAAACCTGAGTCATTATACAAAGATGGTAGAATTTATGGATTAGCAGTAAATGAAAAAAAGTCAGAAGCTATACGTGTCTTGGCATTTCTAGTGGCATCATTACTTTCTAAAGAAAAAAGATATTATTGCATTATATCCAGTTTGAAGTCTTAAAGCTGAGCAGTTGTTGGAATTAAACAAAAGAAGTGTTGAAAGTTCTAGTGAGCATTGGTTATCAAGTTGTTTCCATGATTGCCAATAATAACAGAATAAATCATAAAATGTTTATTCTTTTTTGTGGTGGTGAATTAAAAGTATCTGTGAAGAATCCATTCTTGGAGGAATTGATTTTCCTACTATTTAATTCTGTGCACTTATTAAAATCAATTCAAAATAATTGGATGAATCACTACCATACTAACCAGAGATTTTTTTATCCCAACATACAAAGGGAAACAAAATGTGTTGCTAGTTTGTTTCATCTAAAAGAGATATTACAAGCAAAAGAAGGCAAAATTGTGAAGTTTGCACCATCTTTGTTTCCAAAGGTTTTATATCTTTCATCATTAGAAAGGCAAAATGTTTCATATGCAGTGAAACTTTTTTATAAAAAAGTAGCTACAGCTCTGCAGGAATTTGCACAAAATGCAGATTATATCCAGACTAAAGATTTTATTGAAAGAATTGCAACATGGTGTTATGTAATGAATGTAAAACATCCAGAAAAGCAGAAACAATTAAGAGATCTTTACTGCAGACCAATATATACTAAAGATGATGAGCAAATTAAATTTCTAAATTGTTATATAGAGTTTTTGGATGCATGGGAGAAATTTAACTTGAAACAACAGCATGGAAGATTGTCAGATGAAACGAATTTTGCTTTAAAACATACAACTTATACTATGATTGATTTTATTGAATATTTGTTTGAAAAATTTTTATTGAAGTTTGTACTTTTAAGAAAGTTTCAAACAGATAATCTTGAAGCTAGATTTGGACAATATTGCCAAATGTGTGGTGATACTACTCTCACCTCCTCAGCAGTTTATTTACAAATATAATCAAACACCATTCAATTTGTTGAGCTTATTATTTATTTAGTTCAAATCGTTCTACTATCGAATACGATAGTAGAATGATAATGTCTTGAGGATGGCCTATTAGGAGGCTGAAAACATTTTAACTAAATAAATAATAAGCTCAGCAAATTGAATGGTGTTTGATTATATTTGTGTGGTGATAGTTAACATGTTAGTGTTGTGCAGGTTTTAGAGTGTAAAAAAAATTAAAAATTTTAAGTTTACTGAAATTTAAATCTGAGAGAATAGGGAATTTCCTTATTAAAGATTTGATGACAGCTCAAGAAGATGATTTTATGGAACATTCCTTTAAATCACAGATGGATATTTGTTTTCAATGTTTTGATGATGTTCCTATTGAATGTGAAATGATAACAGTTCCTTTGTCTACCATTAAAATTTTAGTTTTTATTGCTGGTTATGCTATTCATAAATTATTACAGATTTCATGTGAAAAGTATAAATCAGTAATATCCTGTTTAGATAAAAAATTATAATTTGACATTTTACACCCTGAACTTATAAGTTATATTAAGGAAATTGATAGAGGAGGACTTTCATATCCATTTCATTTATTTCTCTCTTTAACTGTTGAACTGTATAAGCTTTTTCAATGTTTATTACAAGCTAAGTATGAAGATCAATTTCTACAGTGCAAAAAACAAAAAGAATTATTTATTAAACTTTCATTTGAAAGAATTGAACTGATTGATTTAGTATCTGTCAGTGTTCCATGTATCTGTGGAACAATAGAGAGGTTGTGGCAGACATTTTCATTGCAAAAATGAGTACGTCAGATATTCAGCACTGCCTTCCTGTAAGTCTAGAAGTTTGACAATGGTGTTTGGAATGTCAGTGGAATCATGCTTGATGTTCCAAACACCATTGTCAAACTTCTAGGCTGTGCTGAACATCTGATGTACACATTTTTGCAATGAAAACATCAGCTTCAACCTCTCTAATGCCATATTTTCTTTTGAAAAATTTTTAAAAATAATTATTGTCATGCAAAAACATCAGCTTTGAGAGATATGCCTGGAAGAAAAAAGGAAATTACAAACTTACAACAAATCTGTAAATTAATTACTTTAAATACTGTACTTTACCTACACATTTCCACTCACTTGCACTTATTCTCAATAATAGTAATAAATATTTATATATTAAGTTAGATTTCTCTATTTTATTGTATAGATAATAAGTTTTTGTAAATACATTTACAGAAGTAATATTTAATAATAAATATAGATTTTTAAAATGAATTACTATTCTTTGTAAGATAAAATTAATAATTGCAAGACTTTTGATATATTTATTTGTTTAAAAAGTTCATATAATAAATTTAAAAGTTAATCATGCAGTGTTGTTCTTTATTTACAAAACTGTTTTTTACTTAAAAATTATTTAATACATTTATAACATTAAAGATTACATTGATGAATTAATTTAAAAAATAATTCTTTTGATAAAAACTATTTGATTTAACACAAATGATCAGCAACGCTTTGATGATCAGCTAAGGAAATGACCTAAGGAAATGAGCTAAGGAAATGAAGAAAAGTACTGTGACATCATAACACTTACAACCAGACCTTGAATAATATATATATATAATTATAGTAGAGCATAGATTATCTGAAACAACTCAAGACTGAGGTTGTTCAGATAAGTGATCATTTATGAAAAAATATATTAAACACAAAACTGTACTGTATATAATTTATATCACACGTCTTACAAATACATACTTACATAATGTAGTACATTAAACTAGGCCTACAGTTTAGGTTGGCAGGGAAAGGGAGGGGGAGAGTGCTGCAATGCCACAGCACTAGCAGAAATTTGAATTTGCCAACTGGAAAGCTTTCGATTAACCGATGTTTCGGTTGATTGGTATTCAAATAATCAATGCTTACTATATAATCTATACTAATATTATAAAGAGATAATGTTTGTAAGTATGTATGTATGTAAGTTTGTTTGCAGCAGGTAATCTCCGAAACTACTCATCCAATTTCAAAAATTCTTTCACCAATATTTAGAATGGAACCTCAGGGTGGACATAGGCTGTATATTATTCCGTTAAACATTCATATAAATTAAAATATATAATCTAGGTTAAGGCTTTTATGTCAACAGATGGCGCTACAAGTACAACGCCCTAAGTTTGCTTTTCTGTGAGGCATTCTGCTTTTCTGTGAAAATGAACTAAAGCAGAACATCATCTATCTATCTATATAAATAAAAATGTAATGTTCGTTTGTTCCTACCGATTCCTTTGAAATTTTGACACAACGCTGCATTCGAATACGCACGTGTTTTTATATAATATATGTGTCAAAATTCTTCCCACTGAAGGGAGATGGTTAGGATTAAGGTTTACCATAAAGAACTCTGCTTCTATTTATACTAATTTAGATGCAGTTTTTTGCATTTTAATAGGGTACATCAACAGAATGTACACTAAGAAAAAATTTTTCGAAAAATTCCCCCCCCCACGGGGAAGTGTTATAAATTTATAATAGATACATTTTGAGCCACAACAACGCGTGGCGATGTCTGCAAGTATATTATATACAGGTAATATAATACATACATTACTTATACACATTGATATATGATATTGATATATACTGATATATTGAAAAGATATATCAATATGTCAAACATTTTAATGAAAAGAGAAATTTCACATATAATTATTGAACATCATTTATTCAAATGAGGGCAACTAAGTTCAAAAACATTAAAAATGATCAAAATCAAAAAAGTTGTTGAATGAATAAATTTTATATAATCAAAAGGATCTCAACTGCAGACAGTTCAAAAACTTTGTTTTAGAACACAATTATATAATTTATAATAATTACATTAGTTGGATTACAAGTTAGAAGAATGGCAATATTAAAACAAGTAAAACAGCAAAACCATATTTGGGACAAGACTATGTCTCAGAGACTCACTACTAAGCAGAATCACTTTGACGCAAGATTTGGAGAATGAGAAAGAGATGCAAGGCGGGTCTCTTTCTCATTCTCCAAACCTCTTTGGTATCGCTGCTTTTGGGCACGATTGTTCAAACTTCGCCAGCCACGATGCATTTTCGATGAAATTAACCTATCCAATTTCATCGAAAATGCATCGTGACTGGTGAAGTTTGAACAATCGTGCCCAAGCGGATAGAAATTTCGAAATTAACCTATCCAATTTCAAAAAATGTCTCTCCATTGCATGTCGGCCCGGGTTGAATTTTTGTCGATGCATAATGAAAATTTCCCGTTTTTGAAAAAAATAATCGTGGCTATTGTATCATCCAAAATTATTTTTTTATTTTGCACAAACAATATACAGTTTAACCCGATTATAATGTCATCGAATGTAACAACGACTCTAATATAATGTCAAATTTTTATCAGTCCCACAATTTTACTATACTAGATGTTAAAAAACCCACTTGTAACAATATAAAACTGTTTCAACATTATATTTGAAGCACTCCCAAATTTACAAAATTAGATTACAAATTTTATTTAACATAGAAGAAACTACATGTACAGTCCTAAGGTCAGAGTTCACTTCTTAGAATGACTGTGGGTGGTACTCTCCCCCACCTGACTTCAGTGGCTGTTTTGCCTGTTTGTAGAAGGGGATCGCCATTTTGTATTTTATTTTGACTCGGTTCTTAGTCCTCTGACTACCTACAAGTCTGGATTTTTTTTATGCGCAAATGATTTGGGCACCTAATACTCTGTGCCAAATATCAACTCTCAACATGTACTCCTTCATACCTCTACATCTATGCTGGTAACATAAAACGGCAGTACAATTTTATAAACAAGACATAGTCTTGTCAACAATTCTGGTCATTTCTAAAAGAAATATATATACATGAAAAGGAAAAAAAAAAATATTGCCTATGCAGAAAAATCTAAATAAAAAGATTTAAATTTAGAACACTTTGTAGAAATGGCAAAAAATAAAAATTCCCACCCAGACAGAATTCCATGATTATTGCAAATCTCAGCATACAACTGCCTCAGGTATGTAAATGTTATTGTTTTATTCTTTTATAGGTACTTTTTGGCTATTTGGATGGACTTATTGCACCACAATTATTTGAGGAATTTTTACTTGGTTTTTTCTTTTCTATTTTTTATTTGACTTTTGATCTCCAAGATGTACATTTCGGGTTTTTCTTTACAATTTTATCTAATAAATTTTACATAATTAGGATTTTATTTTACATTGTTTATATAGTATTTTAGAATTAAAAAATTTAACTTACATTGATATATAATTTTAAAAGCTATATTCTTTCATTAGCTAGTATGTTCTTCATTTTTAATAGTATAACTTGTACACATAAGTCTGTCGAAATTCCCAAAAAGTAGATATATAATAATAAAACAATAAGGTTAAAAAAGACAAGTAGCTTTATGAATGAAGGTACAGTATGCAAATGTTTAGGGGGAAAATAGTCCAATTGCATGCCATTAATACCATGCCAGTGGCTTAAAATCACTAACCCAGTATCCTGTAAAAAAATTCAGAGAGGTTCAATGTATCCATAATTTTCAGTGCATCTGTTGTTTGGAGGTCTTTGAATGTCTAGCATGTCTGTATGACACAGTTAAACACATTACATATTGCTGACCAAGTTTGATAAAGGCTTCATCATTTGGACTTTTTTTTTATTACATTAGCAGTTTGGGATAAGGATCATACTCCTCTTTCCACTCAAAGCATTACAAGGTATACATCATTGGACTGCAGAAAGCAGAACTGTTTCACTGAACAAAGGCACACAGGGGAATGACCATCAGAAGACAAAAGCAGTTATACAACCCTGGGCAAGAAAGTTATTTGACACTCCTTTTAAATATCGGTATTGTGTAATTTTAATCAAAACATCTGAGGGCTCAATCTTACACAATCATTTGCTTTACATTACCCTTTGCTTTCAAAAGTACAGTCAACCACCA